GTCATTTAAATCCAGAATATTCACTATATCCAAGAAATCCTCCCTGGCCATTCGAAGCTGTGGCTTACATTACTGTGGTGTGCTACCTGACTTCCGCATCTTGAATGTTGATGATTTTCGATTTACAACTGTTTTGGGAGGCCAAGTTTGACATTTATGAGATTTATCATTTATTTTCTGGTTACTATGGCGGTTTTGTTTGGAAAATCTAGGAAGACAGTCACAAATCAACCTCAAGTTTGCTTGATTGGCCTGGTTGTTTCCTTTGGCAAATTTTTGTATCCTAATTGCTCACTACCATGCTAAAAGCCAAAGGTAAATCAATATAAAATAAAAAAAATAGTATTACATGCATGAACTATTGTCAAGGCAGAGCACAGCCAATTGGCCACACCATATCTGGGTAGCACAAAATACCCAAATATAACAAAAATATACTAAAAATAAATGTGTTTTACTAAAAAAAGTGCTGTTTTAATCATGAATACAATATACACTTTCACTAAGATGTAATGAAACATACCCAAATATACATTTTTGAACCAAAATATACCCAAATACAGTATACTCCATTAAAGCTATTAAATTAAAAAAATAATACGAATGAACTTGTATGAAATTTCAACAAAATTATACCCTACAAATTTAAATGTAGACAACAAATATTATCATATCTTGCAAGTACATTTGCCTATTCATTAATGAACCTAACAGTTAGATAAATAAGCAAATGTCACTCTTTTTTCTTACAACATCTAAACTGCCAATTTCAATGGAATGATCGAAAGTTATAGTTGGCTAAGTCATATTATTTTGTAAATATCAATTCATTTTCTCATTAAAATCAACATTGTATACAAACCAAAATGAACATTGCTATAATTTAGTGTGTTTGGGTATATTTGGGTATTTCATGCTGCCGCCATATTTTGTAGATGGTTTAAAAAATTGTAAGATCAAATCAAAAGATATGTCATTGAAATACAAAAAAGAATCCCTAAATAACATCCAAAATGGCAAAATTGAAAATGTTGTAGACTAGGGCTTGATATATAGGGTACTGGAAATGCACCCCGTAGCACTGGCTTAAGCAGAATACAATATTTTAACATGAAAGTCGTGAAATTTTGAATGTAGAAACACCTGCAGGCAGTTTTCATATACCCTTCAGTGTGACATGCTTTTGCCATTCTATGAAGCCTTAGTGGACTGAGGTCAAATGTGAGGTTACTAATTAAAGTACTATGAATATCTGGTATAAAAAGTGATCCCTTGGAAGCATTAAAAACAGCAAAATTACATGAAAATTGCAGACAACCTGCAAAAACAGTTGCTGTCACAAAGTACATTTCATTATTTATAGACACTGAATGTATTTCTTAGAAAGAATTAGATTTATGTCATGAACTACATGTATTATATTGGTGTTATTAAATGTTGTTCTAAACATTACCATGAACATATTCATAGGACAAAAAATCAAATACATGTAGCTTGAAATTTAATCTTTTAAAAAGTCCTTAAAAAATCAAAAAAGGTCCTTGATAAGTCCTGGAAAAGTCCTTAAATTTTCAAAATATCTAAGAGTGGGAACCCTGTTAAATGTGCAAAGAACAGTATCAATCTTTTGCTTACACGTATGACTGTGTAAAAATAAATTCAGATTATCTGACCAACCTCCCATTAAAACTTCACTGATGACGTCATGGTCTTAATTATAGTATACTGAACATTAACATTGATTTATTGTTGCTGTTTCTGGACAAGATTACAAGATTTGACCATTTCTGCCCGTATGCTTCCCTCAGCCAATCAAAATGGAGAATTTGATACCACATGGTAACAAAATGGGCGACATAAGACATCACAAAGGGGAGCCTAAGGAGCACCCCATCCGCCATGTTTTTGTTGGTTGACCTTTATTTAGAATTGAAATACTATCTTCATGTACAAAGCTCAAAACCAGTGTGCAGGCTTCTACGGGGTAAACAGTATATAGAATATTTCATTAAAAAAAGAAAAATTAGCTCTTTTGTTCAGGAGTCTATTTTACAGAAGAAATATTTTGAGTACCTGGCTGAACGGCGATTCCTATCATTTTTGGAAATGCTAATACGTATGTTTATTCATACAAAATTCTGTCAGTTTTCTTTTTATCTGTCTTAATAGTGTATCATTTGCAACCAATTATGAGATCTAAATAACAACACCTCACAATGTATCAAGGCTTAGTAGCGTTTAAAAAAAGCCAAGGTGTATAAATCACACTACAGATTTTATGCTAGGCATAGGTAAGTTGAATGATATATCAGGAATGTATCTTGTGTTTGCAGCAAAGCAAATCTTGTTATGTAAATGTGACAGTTAACTAGACATATTTCCCCCCAATATTTTTCAGGGATACCCGTTAATTTATGTATAATATTATATTATAAGTCAAGTCGCAGTAAAGGAAATTGTGTCCCCTTCTTTGTCTTAAGGTGCACTGTTAGCTCAAACTTTAGCACTGGATCAGAATAAAGCTTAAAACTTTCTCTGCAACTAAGCTACATAAACCTTTACTTAACAATGGACAGTTCCAAGTTCAAAGCAAGGCAATGTTCATAACACAAATTTAGGGAAGATTAATCGACTTGGCCTGACTTATGGTATAATAATAGAAAGGATAATCTCTGGTAGATTTGGAAAGGTGATGATTGGGTTTAATGACTTGTCTTACATACTGGTAGATAAGGTTTAAAGATACAGACATATAAAATCAACACTCAACCAGGAAACTTTCCTCAGTAGGTAAACATTAGTCACAAAATACCTGTAGAAAAAAAATCTTTGAAGTAATTAGGTGTCCACTTTAAAACAGGGAAAACTTACTGCTTTAGCATGCATGAATTGTACTTAAAGGTCAGTTCATTTTAGCACAGGACTTTTGCCAGAGATTATCCTTAAGGTTATTGCATCTTGTATGAACCTAGTATTCTACCCTTTATGGTCACTAAGTTTATAAACAATTCTAGACAGACACTATTTTCCAATGCTTTCATGAAATTATGACTGATTGATTTTTCTATGAAGATGTCTTGAATTATGCTATTATTTTCCTCAAAGGTGAAATTCATGATTAGAATATTAAATTTTATTACTTCCTGAAGGTATTATATAAGTTGCTATCTTAAGTAATTCTAGAAATTGTTATTGGATTCAGTCACTGAGTGTTTTAAAGGTGATAAAACTGCATGGATAGAGTTACATGCAAATAACTTACAATAGAAGTTGTCTTTATTGCCAAGTACCCAGCCTGATAGACATATCAGTAAAGCAAAACTTGTATACTAATGACATGTGTTCTTGATATATAACAGTGTGTAAGTGATAATATCTCATTTCTGGTGTGATTTAGAATGATTCAATAGTGCATACCTGTGAAACTATAGTATATCTATCTCTTAATATTACCAAGGCTAAATTACAAATTTATTCAAGTTCTAGATTATCCAACCCCTTCTGTAAGACGAAGCTAGAAATAAAAGTTTTATTTTTGTTATAAGCTTGTTTGATGAATTGATGAGGCAGATTTATTGACAGTTATTCAGCACTCATCTCAGCAAAGACTCAATCTTTGAGCATGCCAATTTTCTACATATACATCACAAATGGTTGAACTTGATGATTTTAGTATCAAAGTTTGTACTTAACATTTGAATTGATTTTTCAAATTCATGTACTTGAAAAGAAGATGTTGTAACAGATGTTTCTAAAATTCCAATGGCTGAGATATTATTAATGATTTTAGAGGTTCATTCAGATGCAAGCATATGTGTGTTTCCCACATATTTGAAAAAAGGTGATTAATTAAAGACAATGTTGTATTTAAGGTTCTTGCAACACTTAAGTGAGATTTTTTATGTGTATATAATTTTGCTTCTAAAACAATTTTCAAACATCAAAGAATATGTAAAATTATAAACTGCAAATATTTGTCCACATTATTGCAAGTCATTTTCACGAAGAGAAATTTGGAATCTATTATAATACTTTACATGTGATATGGACAAATCATCAAATATTTGAAATAAGAATAAGTAACTGTTATTGTTTTGGGTTGAAAATTTAGTATTATTTTTTAAAAAGATGAAAGAAAACAATTTGATATTATCATGTTTAAGTAAACTTCCAATTGTTGAGAAAGACAAGTTACAGTGTTTTGAGTTGACTAGTGTATTAGCTTATATATAAATAGATTTCTTGGCACTAAATAGTGACCTTCAGATAAATTGAAGGTCTTCTCTTGTACGTAAATGCATATTTTTTGTGGCTACACTAAATCCAATAATTTGAAAAATTCTATGTTAGCGTCTACTTTTGTAACTGTTAATTTAACATGTGTACTCTTGAGAATAGTTTAATTGCAGTAATATGCAGTTAAGCAGTAAATCAATTGTTAGGAAGTCTGTTGTACAGTAGGTGTATCAGAGTGCCAATTCTATTTTCATTTTATGCGTTTTCTTGTACAGAATCACATTTGAACAAATTGTTTCATGCGAGGTTAGGGTTGAATGTAGCGTTTAAAATCTTGTTTGGTGTGACAAAATTGTATTGATGTTTGTCATTGGAAGTGAGGGAGTCAAATATTTAATAAAATGTTTGCTACATAGAATGTATCCTACATTCTTTACATAATCACACCACAGCTAGTTAAATGCATGAAAAAACAACAAAGTAAAGAGTGAAAATTATCATGGTATAAATCATGAGCTCATGTAAGCAACTAAAATTTATGTATTGGGCACTGGTTATATTTCTGATAAACCATTTATACACTGGGTATAAACTGTCATGCAAATTTGTCAGACAGCACAATCCTTTCATTTGAGGTCAAATAAAGTAACTTCATAAATTTACAACACAATGTATACAGATTATATAAACATCAAGATTATCCAATGAAAATCATCGTAACAAACATGCAGTTTGATATAAATTGATATATTTATGTTTTCCAGGGAAGAAGAAGCAATCAAGCTAGATGGTCTGAACGTGGCACAAATGAAGGAATTGAGAGACAAGGCTGAGAAACATGTATTCCAGGCCGAGGTCGATCGTATGATGAAACTTATCATCAACTCTCTCTACAAAAACAAAGAGGTAACAAAATTTAATGATTTTAACAGCTGGTCATGTGTAACCGACTTATCTTGCTTTAACTTTAGAAACAACAACTGGTAATTTCATGATATTTTTTTCATGAAGGTTAAATATTTGCCCAAATTGCCAGCCCAACTGTGAACACCCCACGCTCCTCAGTCTATCACTTCTTTTCTCATTTTCGTATAACTGACAACTAAGTAAACAGATTAAAAAAGGCAAAGTATTAGTAAGCTGTGAATCTTCTTAACATTGTATCTCTAGTTTTACAAATCATAAATCATTCCTGATTCCAAAATTGTTATAATTAGCCAGAACTAATATATGAAACAGTTTCTAGACATGGTACAGGTGTTCTGTGTTTTTTACATCGAAGTAGCGCAGCATGTATTCTTGATACCTTTTTGGCATTTTACCCTGCTAGTCATATGTATTGAAAATTATTAAAGAAACCTGCTGGGATGTATAATGAATGGAAGCCTGGTTTAGAAATAATCATTTCTGGGTATGACATTGCTATGTATGTTACATACAAGATTTGTTCCTGAATGTGACATGTTGGTGGATTATATATTATGAGTCATCAAACAAACACTGCCAGAATAATTTGAGAGCATTAATTGACAGTTACTTTAAATAAATTTCAGTTTTGGTGGCAAAGTTAGGTAATTTGTTCTTTGAGGAGGGGGGATGAAATAACACCAAAAATAGATTTGAGGCTAGCCAAGTAGTTGCTCCCAATTTCAAGTTTCAGTCCTGCCAGAAATATTGAATTTTTCGTTGCTGAAGGTTGTTGACTCTACCCATGTGATCCCTTCTACCCATGTGATCCCTTACCTATGTGATCTCTTCTACCCATGTGATCCCTTCTACCCATGTGATCCCTTCTACCCATGTGATCTCTTCTACCCATGTGATCCCTTCTACCTATGTGATCCCTTCTACCCTTGTGATCACTTCTACCTATGTGCTCAATTCTACCCATGTGATCCCTTCTACCCATGTGATCACTTCTACCTATGTGATCACTTCTGCCAAAAAGAACACAAGGTTAGGCATGTTACCTCTTCCCTCCCCATTTAAACCTGGGAAGATACTATACAGTATGATATCAAACATGCTTGTGTGGCATCAGTCTAATAAAACTTATGAATGTATGAACCCTTTAATTCATAAAACTTTGCTATATTTATTTCAGATTTTCTTGAGAGAATTGATCTCTAATGCTTCAGATGCCCTGGACAAGATTCGATTTTTGTCTCTGACTGACAAGAGTGCGTTAGCTGCCACAGAAGAATTAAGTATTAAAATTAAGGTAAGTCATAAGTGAATGTTGTTAGTTGTAATAAGTGATTTCATTATGCATGATATGTGAATAAATGTTACTGGACTTTATTATATTAGGACCTCAGCTGTATGTGAATAATTGGCTTACAAAATTAAACGATAGAGCAGGATCTAAATCATTTAGAGTTCAGTTTTATTACAAGTCTTCTAATTTTGTTATCTCTAGAGAGTATTTTAGAGAAAGGCTGAATTTTCCTACTTTCAATAAAGCATTTTATCACATTCAATAAACATATTTTTAAAGTTTGAATGGTATTCTTTAAACATGGCTTCCATTGATAAAAAGTGTTTTATCCAAAGTAGTAAACTTCAAAAGCTTTCAAGATAGCCTATGAGAAGACATTGGTTCTACTTGGGTGTCCGCATATTCATGACTGTGAACTTGAAATTCAACAAAGAACTTACTAGTACTTACAGAAAGAACATAAAAAGCATCAGATAAATAGCTTCTTTTGAACCTTAAAGTGTATCAAATCAGTTGTTCAGACAATAGGTATAATCTTTTGACCTTTTGTTTTCAACAGGCAGATAAAGATAATCATATTCTACATGTTACTGACACGGGTATCGGCATGACTAAGCAGGATCTTGTTAATAACCTGGGAACCATTGCCAAGTCTGGAACCAGCGAGTTTTTGACAAAGCTTGGTGAAAGTGAATCTCAGACTGAAATGACAGATCTCATTGGACAGTTTGGTGTCGGATTTTACTCTTCATTTTTGGGTAAATATCATATTCAATGGCAAGTTTTATTTGGAAATATTTGTATAGAAAACTTATATATAAACTAATATAGCATGATACACTGAAATTTTAAATGCAATTTGTTGGTGGTGCCTCCATTGCAGAGTGATTAAGAGCACTGACTTTGTATCACTTGCCCCTCACTGCTGTAGATTCAAAACCTGCTTGGGGCATTGGCTTCTTTCATATGATAAAGCTATCAAGCTAGCTTACAGACGCTTGGTATATCATATATGCCTGAAATAATTTTCAGAAAGACACATGAATTCTTCCTATTCCAGTCTAGCAGTTATGTCACTGTTTGGCCATATTCAATAAATTCTAGATGAAAAATTTCAACGTGCGTTTTAAATCATTTAACAGTTGCTGACCGTGTGATTGTGACATCTAAAAACAACGATGATGAACAGCACATCTGGGAGTCAGACTCCAACGAGTTCAGTGTCAGCAAAGATCCACGTGGAAACACTCTTGGTCGTGGAACAACCATCAGGTATGATTTGGCTATGTAATTTACCCTTAACAAAATAAAAGATTGAATAACCTTTCCACACAGTAAAGGGTAAATATATTAAGGCTATAACCAGAACATGCTTTTATAGCCAAAATGATAAACAGAATATGGGGTTTTCAGAATAGATTAATTGACCTTAACATTTGTGGTGTAAGAAATCCTTAAGCAATATAAAAAGATACTTCATTTCATAGACTTTTAATGTAAAAACAATTTTTAAAGCATACTTGATGCACAAGTCTAGGATTTCAATGTCCTTTCTAAAATATTGTTTATTTTCCCCAATATTATAAAGATATAGTAGTTGCAATTGTTTCGATTTTTTCTCACAGTTTACACTTGAAGGAGGAGGCCCATGATTTCTTGGAAGAGAACACCTTGAAGAACCTTGTAACTAAATACAGCCAGTTTATCACCTTCAACATCTATCTCTGGGAGAGCACTGTAAGTTTATATCTCATTTACACCTAGAAAATAATACCTTATAATTGTGTGGACTTCTTAGAAACATGCACAAAACATTTTGGTCTGATGACTGCTTTAATACTGTTGTGACAACCAATATCCATTTTATGTTGTGAATTATATCATGTGGAAAAAAAATTCCCTCATTTTTGATGAAACAGGAATTATGAATTCTATATGGTTATACATGCTTGAGAAAATGGGTTATACATGCTTGAGAAAATGTAAATTTAATAAAAGTATAAAACTTAAAAGCAGTTATCCAAATTTGAAAGTACCATGGTATGAAGAAATGCAATCAGAAGACTACATGTTTGTATCAATAGTTAACATTTAAATTTTAATCATTGTAACAATATACAAGACTGATTAAAATGATTTATGGTATTGCTTTCATGCTTTCAAGGTATAGAAAAGAAACTGTGACCTTTCATGTTCATTAGTATTGATAAATATTTTCATTTTTGTATACAGACATCAGAAGTTGAGGAACCAATTGATGAGGAGGAAGAAACTAAAGAAGAAAAGACGGAGGATGAAGACGAAGATGCTGATGTTGAAGAGGAGAAGGAGGAAGACAAACCAAAGACCAAGAAGGTCTCTAAAACCATCTGGGACTGGGTCCTTGTCAATGATGTTAAACCAATCTGGACTAGAAAGTAAGGGAGCAGTTATTTAATCTTCTTATTTTTGTCAAGTTGTGCTTAAAACTTATCCTAAATGGAGTTGTTCCTGAATTTAAATTTCAATGGAAAATGTAAGAGTTGACATAGAAAATTCTAATGGAATAAATTTGTGAAACCTTAACAAGAAATGAAATGAAACAGTGGAAAGAAGTTGAAGCTTTGCATAGATTAATAAGTTTCATTTTACTGTGGCAGATTAGTCAAGCCCATTGACTTCTAAGTACATGCCCTTTACTTTAATCACGCTGTTTACCACTATGGGTTTAAATCGTACCAAGGACTTATAGGGTTTTTATGACAGTAAGTTTTATGTTTAAGCTTTAAGGAGGGTGGAAAAATTGCATTGAGGGGCTGATGATAATTTTTAACCAGTAAAGTTGGAGAATTGCAGTGTGACTTAAGTATTGCTATTGATGTAACTTCATCCTTATCCAACAAAACTAAATTACAAAATAGTGTGCTAATAGATATATATTGTTTCATTTTCCAGACCATCTGAGGTAGAGGATGAGGAATACAATGCATTCTATAAATCCGTCTCTCACAAATCCGAGGAACCTATGGCTAAAATCCACTTTACCGCTGAGGGAGAAGTTACATTTAAATCCATCTTGTTTGTCCCTAAATCCAGTCCAAATGATATGTTCCAGAATTATGGGAAAAAAATGGAAGGAATTAAGGTGAGAAATTTTGAAACTTGCAAATTAGTAGATAGAGAGGGGAGGGTATAAAGCCTTACATGTTCATCTGTCTCGCTCTTGACAGTTTTGGGCGTTATGGCCGAGTGGTTAAGGTCGTTGACTTCGAACCACTTGCCCCTCACAGCTGTGGGTTTGAATCCCGACAGGGACTTGGAATTCTTTCATGTGAGGAAGCTATCCAGCTAGCTTACTGAACATCAGTGGTTCTACTCAGGTGCCCTTTTGTGCCTGAAATAATGCACAGAAGGGCAACTGAGGTCTTCCTCCACCAGTAAAGCTTGAACGTCGCCATATAACCTGTATTGTGTTGGTGTAACGAAAATTCAAACAAACTTTTGACAGCTTTAACCTTGGATGTAAAATCTTCATTATCGGGCACACTTCACCTGTATGAAAGTTTCATTTTCACTTGTAAAATATTACTTATATTCCAAATCCTCATGAAAAGATCATATTTACAATTTTTGTTGCTTCTGTTTTAAGTTCTAGACATTTGTGTTTTATAAACACCTCCTGTTTTGTAAAGGTTTGCGTGTTTCAGAGTGAATGATATGCATAACAAAAACTATTTTGACTTTAGGAAATTCAAACAAGGAAAACAGCAATGAAATTTTTGTTAACTGTGCCTGTGTATTAGTAAGTAAAGTTTAACTGAAAAAGACAAGGCAACAAGTAATATTTATGATTTCAGATGTATGTGAGAAGAGTTTTCATCACAGAAGATTTCGAAGATATGATGCCGAAATACCTGTCATTTGTAACTGGTGTCGTCGACTCTGATGATCTACCACTGAACGTATCTAGAGAGACACTTCAACAACATAAACTTCTCAAGGTCATCAAGAAAAAGCTTGTCAGGAAAACATTGGATATGATTAAAAAGATTGATAAAGAAGAATATGATAAATTCTGGAAAGAATATAGCACAAAGTAAGTTGAAGATCATGATATTTCCTGAATGCATTGAACTTGCCTTTTTTCGTTGATTTTGCGAGTGTACATTAGTATCCCCAGGGATTTTAGATCAAAATCATGAAATTGACAAGTCATTTGTAAAAAATCTGGGCAGAAAGCTTCAAAAATAACTTCTAAAATGAAATTTGTTTTACTGGAATCAAATTTAGTTTTCGAAAAGAGTTTATCATTACGTTTTACCTTTTCAGACTTACCAGTACTACGCATAATAATATTATGATACATTTTTTGATTTCCAGCATTAAACTTGGAGTTATTGAGGACCATTCAAACCGAACTCGTCTCGCAAAATTGTTGAAATTTTATTCTTCAAACTCTGATACTGAGCAAACATCATTAACAGACTATATGGAGAGAATGAAGGAAAAACAAGAAAATATCTTCTTCATGGCTGGAACAAACAGACAAGAGGTGGGTGAATTTAATTTGTTCCTCGCCAAATATTATTAGCCAGTATTCTTGCCTTCAGTGTTAGATGTCAAAAATGTACCATAAGTAAAAGTAATAACATCAAAGTTTCTTTTTGAAAAATGATTCAGTAATACAAATGTGTTGTTAAAATTTCATGCCAGTATCTTGTAGCCAGCTATCCAGGTAGCTTATTAAAGCTAGGTAGTTAAAGGCTGCTAGGGTCTGAAGTGATGTAAGGAAGAGCACCTGTTCTTATCAAAAATAAAGCCGGAAAGGAATATGTTATTATGAAAAGTGTAGATTTAACTTGAAAAACCTCCAAAATGGATTAAGAAAAAATCCTTACTATGCTTATATAAAGATTGTTGATATTTAGAAAAATTATCATCTGCTATGTTATATTCTATCTTGAAATACATAAATGTTAATGAGATACTCTTTTTCAAACAGGTCGAGAAATCTCCATTTGTTGAGAGTCTTTTGAAAAAAGGATACGAAGTTCTGTATCTTATCGAACCAGTCGATGAATACTGTATCCAATCACTACCAGAATTCGAAGGCAAGAAATTCCAGAATGTCGCCAAAGAAGGCCTGAAAGTGAACACATCTGAGAAGGCTAAGGAATACAAAGAACAACAAGAAAAAGATTTCGAACCTTTGATCAAGTGGTTGAAGGAAACTGCTCTCGGAGATAAGGTACAGTGATTTTTGTTTACAACTAGAAATCTAATGATAAATGACAAAATTATTTAATATCAATTCTTATTAACGATGAATATGTTATGAAAGAAGAAATGATATTGTATGTAGTTTGGTGATTAAACTCATTGAAATAAGTATGGAAATTGTATGTAAACTCTGGTACATTCTGTTTTCAGATTGAGAAGGCCGTTATTTCAGAAAGATTGGCCGAGTCACCCTGTGCCTTGGTTGCTAGTCAGTTTGGCTGGTCTGGAAACATGGAAAGAATTATGAAAGCTCAAGCCTATGCTAAATCCCAGGACCCATCTTCACAGTAAGTTACACATTTGTTTTATATATTTTAAACTAAAGGATCCTTAAGTTATAAAAAACAAAGGGAAGTTGAGTTGTGTTTCTGGTTTCTTCGACAATAATGATATGGAAAATCAAAATGGTTTTCTTTTTCTTGTTCAATGACTTATTTGGGAAAAAATTTAAGTGATAGAAGTGTTTTTACATTTACAATAAAATGTTGAAAGTCGATAAAGATAGTTGTAATCAATTGTTCACAATGTCCCCACAAGTGACTTTGTATAAATGTCTGTGTATTATCTATTTCAGATATTATGCCTCACAGAAAAAGACTTTAGAAATCAATCCAAGACATCCTTTGATAAAAGAACTTAAAAATAAAGTAGAGGTAAGGTTCTGTTTTTAATTGCAATATAAACAAATTTATGTCAAATATGTACTGTAATACTGTATATGTTCAAATCAAGACTAAGGCAGGAAAGAAATTATAAGATAGTTAGCTCTTTAGTTTTATCAATTTGCAATTTGTTTCAAAAACATTAACCTCTTTATCATAAAACTTAAACTATGAGATTGATATTGAACTTTGTGCACTGTAGGGATATGTCTGAAGAGGGGTTTTTCGAGATTGTTTAAAAGTTAACAAGTCTAATTCTTGAGTCTAAATGAATATGTTTTTAATATACATCAAGTACTTTTGAATACTGGAAGCTTTAGTGTAGTGATGGGCTAAACATGCTTCTAAATTTTGTGAATTAGTAATTGCTTCTACTAACTAGAAACCTCCAGGCTGTTCCTTCACCAGTATGACTCGAGTTTCTGCATGCTGTGATAGGTCACAATTTTATCAAGTCTTGAATACCAAACAAGTGTAAAATGACTTACTTAATTCTTTTCAGGCTAACGCAGAAGATGAAACGGCTAAAGATCTTGCCGTGGTTATGTTTGAAACTGCTACTTTACGATCTGGCTTTACTATCGGTAATTCGGCTGACTTTGCAAGTAGAATAGAGAGAATGATGCGTATAGCTTTGGATGTTGATTTAAATGAAAAGGTATGTAATCTGCAAAGTGGCAGGATATCTATTTGCCACTGATATAGAAATAATAAATGTACTTTGTTTTGTCAAATATTTAAATGCTTTGTTAGTACTAAAAGAAAAACTGGTTTATGTACAGCCATATCTAACATTTCTTCATCATTATAGGATATTTTTTTATATATTTTGACCATGCATTAGGATTATATCATTGCCCATATCTGTTGTCAAATTTGTTGCATTATTGATAATATTTTTACTTGAATTATAAAGAAAAAATAATTACTGTTAAATCATTTCAATTCGAGGACATAAAACTTTGTGGTTTGTCGACAAAAAGGTGTAGTGTGAGGTTGTAAATACATGGAATTAAGTTGTCAATGGAAAAAAATACGGGGCCGTAAATTTGTTGATTTTAATTTCAAAAAAAGAAACAACATAAAATTATATTCAGCACAACTTATTGATCAGGACTTAATTTTATGGTTGATCTGATCTACGAAATTCATGAAAATTAATCCCCCACGAACAATAATGATCACAGTAACATAAAACTGGCAATTTAACTAATAATGCTGAACGGTGTGTAAGACAGATTTGTGTATGTTATTGTCAGGTTGAAGAAGAGCCTGTATTTGAGGATGATGAGCCCGCTGATGAAGATGATGATGATACAGAAGAAGTTGCTGCAGATGATGATGGTGGTGATGATTCAGCTGATACAGAAGACAAGGTTAGTGATGTGTGACCATGGCTGTTTCTCTTCGGGTTTATTTTTACACCAAACAACATAGAACAAAACAGACAATCCTGGGTTTTTAAATATATACGTAATTTATAGTTTTAAGTTAGTTTCATATTTTTGTTTAAGTGATTGGAAAAGCAAAAACATGTCTTCCTAACACTATTTTTTAATACAAAATGAACTTAAGTACATTATTGACAGCAATTCAGCAGTAGAGGGATGGAAGGGCAATTTGTGTTTTGATGTAAAATAGTTCTTCCTGGTTTTTTGTGTAATTTTTTTAAAGACCATAAAGTTTTGGGTAAAGTCTGAAAGATTATTTATTTTGTCACAAAACTGAATTTTGTTCTATGAAGTTTGATAGAAACTAGCATGTAGATTAAGTGTAGACATTACTTGTAATTATTGTGATCTAATAGTACATCAATTTGTATATCAATATGTAATGTAGGTATGAAATATAGCACTTAAATGATTTGAGCCGCGTCACGACAAAACCAACATAGTGCGTTTGCGACCAGCATGGATCCAGACCAGCCTGCGCGTCTGATCAGGATCCATGCTGTTCGCTTACCAACTCTATAACAAGTAGAGAAACCGATAGCGAACAGCATGGATTCTGATCAGACTGCGCGGATGCGCAGGCTGGTCTGGATCCATGCTGGTCGCAAACGCACTATGTTGGTTTTCTCGTGACACGGCTCATTTATTCTTTTTAGTTTCTATGCAACAGATACAAAAACTTATTTTGATTTGATTATATAATTTATACTTGATATTTTAATTATTTTTCATTAATGTATATCTTAATTTTAAGATGATCCAAGTTAGAATTTTAATTTCAGTATTGGCAAGTTATCACAATTGTCCATTTCTGCTGAGTAGAATTTATTTTAAGTGTCATAATTTTTTCAGAGAATTTCCATTTCTGAAATGATGGACAATTCTTTACATAGTTCAAATAATATATTTTAACTTGGATCTACAGATACATGTATTGTACACATTTTTTTTGTAAATTATATGATGATATTAAAAAAAATCTTTGCTATTAACCACAGTTACTCCCCTTGTACCATAAGCTTCTTGCCTGCGTGTGTGTTTTAGTTATGCTCAGATGGAGTAACCCAGGGCCTTTTGTATGGAGATTTAATCTTTTGAATAGAGGCCTTGATGAGTAATTTGTAGGGGTTAAAAATCATTTTGCTCATTCGAAGGACATGTTAAATTAAGTATTTATTGCATTTTAGTCTAAGGCGTCTTAGATGGACTTAAATGTATAAATCTGGACCTGTAAAAAAAATGGACTCTAAAATAAAAATCTCATTGTAATACTGCAAGTTTGTAACATCCGTTTTCATTGGATAATCTTTATGTATATATCATCTATATACATAGCTGCTGTCAATTTATAAAGTACATTTTATTTTTCCTCTAATAAAGTAGTTCTACTGTTTTATAAGTTTGTTAAAAAGATATCTTACATGTTATATGGCCGTATATATAAACGGTTGTGACTTGGGTTATATAAACTTACAACCAATGATACTGAGTTATATAACCTGGCAGACATCTATATAACTAATAATATAACTTTTTAAAGAAATATTTGAGATAGTAATAAATTTTATGAATGAGATGTAATTTTTACATTAACTGACTGGACCACCCCATGTTATTACTTCTGTGAGAGTAATTTTGAGATAGAATGATACATATAGGAGAGAAGTAAATGGGTTTGACGTACTGGAAATAAAATAAGAAAATATATCCCCAATGAACTGGTAATAAAAGATTAACCCTTGGTTGCTCTTTTCTGATTTATAGACACAAGTTACGAAATGCTGCATGTTTTGGTTGTTTCTTCTTTTTTTTTTATTCATGACAGACCTGAGTTCCGTCAAGTGTGTCCAGTTTTAATTGTTTTTGCATCTTGAACGTGGAATGATGCACCTCCATGTTATCATTTTACCATTGAAACATTTTTAAATGCTAACATTTTCACAAGGTTTATAAGATTTTGAAGAAAAGCGACATTGGTAGAATATCTATTTTGCAATTTTTTTCAACCGTAAATGATCCTATATCACGAAGATGAAAAAGACATACACCAGGCAAGAATATTTGTGGTCAAGGGGAGAGAATTCAAACAATACTGGTAGTTTAATTAAACTCTCATGAATTCTCTCCCTTTTTCTCATTACAGGCAGAAGAAACTCACGATGAATTGTAACATTGGTTTTACTTAGCAGCTCATTATTATATCATCATTTTTGGAAGGTCGTCTTATCTGTGTTATTTTCTACATATTGAGAAAATTTTCATCATATTCCATTCAAACTTTTATCATCATTAAAATTGATGGACATACTGCATTGAATCATGACATTTTCTATGTTATATTTGAAAGAAGGGAAGAGATGAGGTAACAACAAATAAACATGCTTGTGTGGATATTCTACTCTGTGCACTATTCATTGCAATTTTTATTATATCTAAACAGTGATAGTGTATACTATTCAACCCTTGAGCTGTTTAAAAAAAAGACAGTGAAGTTTCTATGAATGTTATATGACTGAGATTCGATAAAATAAGATGAGAAATTAATCAAATATGCATAAATTAGGTTGGCATTACTTGTACAGATTGTTTTACGATTGTATTTTTCAGTTTCTTTTGTCACAAGATGTTTTTTTTGGTTAGAAAATAAAGTTTTTATATACTTATTTAATTTTGGGGAGATTTGTTGATTTAGCAACTAGGGGAAAATGTTCAGAAATGTGATGCCAAGGTATAAGTAGCTATATAATAGATCTTCTTTAAGATATATGTTAGTCACACCAGCAACTATACACTGTTATTTATGTAAGATAATCACAGATCCACATTTACTTATGAACCGTGACTTGACAAAACCAACATAGTGCATTTGCGACCAGCATAGATCCAGATTATCAGTTTCTCTACTTGTAATAGGGTTTGTAGCAGGCTGTTCTGGATCCATGCTGGTCGCAAACGCACTATGTTGGTTTTGTCATGGCGCGGCTCATAAAATAGTTGTGTAGAAAATTGCTATATTGAACTGGTATATGTGTAATCATTATAAAGTTATCTCCCTTTAAAAGGCTCATTGAAACTGTTTGTGATAGTTTGTAAATAGGGATCATGTGGTTATTAAAAAAAAATTGAAAATCAAAACCAAAAAAAAAAAAATAATCTTAAAACTTGATTATTTAAGTTTGTTGTTCTGTTATAATTACTGTATAAAATACTATGTAATTGACCAACTACCAACTAAAAAGATTGAATTCCAAGTTTTTTACTTTAAAGATATTGGCACAGAAATTTAAGTTTATCTTTTTGCAAGTCATATTTGAGGGAATAAATTTGTTTATTCCATTAATGTTATATATATAATTTACTTTTGCATGTTGTAATGCCATCGTGCAGTTTTAATTTAGCATTGCCATACAAGAAAGAGTACATAATATTTGTAATTTTGGTGTTGTCTTTTATCAGCATAATTGGACAAAAAAATCCAAAGAAATCTTCCAATAACTTACAAAAACTTTAAAGTTAAAATGTTTTTTTAGATATTCATTGCAACATATGAATTTCAAAATTAGGTTGTACCATTCATTTTGACTTTACATCAGACATACTTTAATTTTACAAATGTCATAGACTGAGACTGTCGGATTGTTAGTAAGTTCTTGATAATTTTTCTACCAAAGACATTTATCATAATTGAATTCATGATTTAATATTTTCCCTACATTAATAATAATAACTTAATACAATCGAGTTTAATAGTTTGTTTAATAAAACAAAAATGTGATTAGAATCACTGTTTTCTTTTTCTTTTCTACAAAAAATCAAACAGAACTTACAGAAGGTGACTTGATTATTAGAATTACCATTTCCCACAAGAGAATGTGTTCCTAGACTGTTGACTTAATGTGTTCCTAGACTGTTGACTTACAATGCGAGAAGGTCAGATTTATATGTAACAGTTTGTAGATTTAACTGCAGATGTTTCTATTATCACCAAAACTTTGAGCACCATTTACAAGTGTGAGCATTAGTGATGTTTATTTTTGTACCAAAAAAATTAATGCATATAGAATATAGTGCTACTTAAAACCAGCTATGTCCCATGCCATTCCATTTCAAAATGATATAAAAAATACTTGTTTTTGATATATGTGTGACCAAATCTTATTTTATTGTAAAGAATTCATTTTGTAATTTTGTCTTTTGTGTGTTTTTTTTTTTAATTTCATAATACATAGGATGAAGTGTCAAATATTGTAAGATCCTTTCATTATTTAAGGGTCATTAAGGCATGAATATTTGTTTGCTATTAATTGGCTATAGACAACCTGGTCTTCACTTCTGAATTTGGCAGTTACTTAGTGGCAAACAAGTGTGTTTATTGGTGTGAAATAAATTATACTTGGGTAAATGTCTAATGTATGTTAGAGATTGAGAATTTGAAATTGTTTATGAAATAAATATAATTAATAAAACTTATGTGAAATAAAAACAAACACACTGTCTGTTATGTATAATTGACTAAAAGAATACTTGAACTTGTAAAAACTGATACAATTTCACATGACTTCACTATAGAGATTATATACCATACTTGTGGATGAAAGCATGTCATATTGCCACAGTACGTGATGAACCATGAGCTCTCTGTGAAATGAAAGAAAAAATATATGAATATATTAAATAAAGAACTACTTGTGGAGTTCTTTACTAGTGATGATAACAACTTGCATCTGAAGTCACTTATATAATTTGACTCTTTTGTGTATTTGTACATACCTGGAAAAAAAACCATTTCAGTATATATGTACTTGGCAGTCCGCCCGCCACTGAGCAATTTCCTGTCCTTTCTGTATCTTTTGAATGATGATGGAACCTAGCAGAAATGTTAACCATAATGCAAGAATGTGCAAGAGCAGATTTGATCTTCCTCA